TTGATGGCTTATTTGCTAACTGATATGACAATATTTGCTAGGCTCAACTTTGCTATGTCCTGTCTGAGACCTGGAATCAGCGATGTCTTTAGCAAACCTAGTTTTCTTGGAGTGAGAAGTGACATTTCAAGACCATAATCTAGGTCTCATTGCTATGGCATTAGTCACTGTTTCTAAGTATTTATAGTGGAAAAGACTAGAAAACATTTACAGGCAGGAATTATATATATCCTAGATCTGTCCACTATAAAAAACTAGAAACAATGACCAACACAGTAGCAATTTTCTGTTTACATTGATGCTTGCAATCAAATTTCCAAGACTAAAGTGCTTTTAACTAAACTATTCTCTATTGTATTTGCATGTCCCTTATTCTATATTAAGAATTCTTTTTTCTCAAGAACACAGAATATGATCATTAGAACTGCCATTAATTATTTTTTTTAAATTGTTTTTAGATTACTAGTACTACCACCATTGTGATTATTAAAATTAAATAAATTAAACCAAATAAACTTTCTTGAAATCTACCTCATTCAGAAAAACCACAGAAAAATTAATTTCACATGAAAATAATAGAAATGTACAAAGGCCAATTTCTATGCAATGTTATAAGAGAATAAGGAACATAACTGTATAAATGTACACATACACAAAATATAAATCTGAAGCCTAGCCTCATTTAAGTTAGCCTTACTTTCTCCTAATGCCAAGGAAAAGAAGACAAGGATTCCAACTATTAATTTACTGTACTCAAGTTATAAACCAATGATATTAGGCTGGAGAATAAAGTTATGATAACTGAAAAAGGGTTGTTAAAATTAATAATATTTATAATAAATCTATCTATTGAGAAATATAGGAAAATTAATTTTAAAACTATGATAAATTTGTTGAACAGTAACAGTATTAATGGAATTCAGGTAACAGGGTATAATACTGTATATGCATATTATATATATGTTTAAAGATGATGATGATTATTATGATCAACTGACACATCCCTTCCTGCCATAAACAGCTTGAAAACTGTAAAAATACACAATACACTGGTTTTTAGTCCCTGAAAATAAGAGATAGAAAACTCTCTCTATCTCTCTAAGAGAGGCATAGAGAACTGTGATCCGTAACAGAAGAGAGCCAGAGACAGTAAGCCCCTGCCTTCCTTTAAAGACTGCAGTGCAGGGAAGGAACACAAATCTCAAATTTAGAATTTAGAAATTGAGAAGTTTATAGGGGTACTCCTTAAATAGAGCAAAAACACTAATTTGAGTTGAGGAAATAGTGCTCTAAATTCAAGGAGAGTGAGAAGACTGAAATTTACAAGACAAAGTACTAGAAAAAGTCTAAAAATACTATATAAGAGTACTTTTGAGTCTAGCTGAATACCAAGCAGCTCAGATGAAAAACAAAACTGCATAAGTACTGACAAAGGATTCCTGCCAGGGATGTGGGTTAATTTACAGAGCTCATACCACGTTCAGGTACATTTAAGTTCTTATCCTCCAAAGTACAAAAACCTTATTGAACACCCTGGGAATGCATTAGAGATTTAAGAATCATTATGCCTTAGTAATTAAATCTACGGTAGATCCAGTATAACAAATTTAAACACAGGTCTTTAAGACAGAGGTGATACACAAATGATTGTTGGCCAAGAGCAACTTCATCATCATTAAATGGAGAATACAAGAATCCTGAATATTTAACATCATAAAATTCAAAACGCCCAGCATCCAATAAAAAGTTACAAGAGATCTGAAGAAGCAGGAAAATACGCCATCATTAGCAGAAAAATCAGTCAATAATAGCAGATCCAGAATTACAGAGATGCATTTTTGGAACAGGCTTCAAAACAGCTATTATGAATATTTTTAAGTATTTGAATATAAAACCAACAATAGTATAATAAGGAAGGAAATGCAAACTATAAAAATGGAACTTATGTAGCTGAAATGAATATTTTACTGCACAAGTTTAACAGGAGACTAGCTATTGGAGAAGAAAAGATTAATGAACTTGAAGACATAGCAATTGAAGCTGTCTAACCTGAGAAAGAGACAGAAAAGAGGCTGAAAAAATGGTCCTTAGTGACCAGTGGAACAGTGTTAAGGAGCCAAACATACTGTAACTGGAATATCTGAAGATAGGAGAAAGAGAAACAAAAGGGACAACTAGTGCCTAAAAGTTTTCAACTGCTGTAAAAACTAAAGCCCACAAGACCAGGAAGCTCAACAAATTTCAAGTAGAAAAAACACCATTTCTATCTTAACCAAAGTTTTAAAAATAGTTATAAAAGCATTTGAAAAGTGGTCACAGGAGAAGAAAGACATATTAGAACATAGAAAACTGGCACTGATTTCTCAACAGAAATAATGGAGTTCAGAAGACAAAAGCGTAACATCCTTTAAAGTCCTAAAGAAAAGAAAAATCATCCTAGAATTCTTTCTGGTGAAAATATCCTCCACCTGAAGATGGGGAAAAAGACACTTTTTTCATATGTTATATATTTGAAAATTGTTCATAAAATATTTTGTGTTCTCACCATAAAACAATAAGTATGTGAGATAATACATATGTTAAATTGCTTGATTTAGCCACTTCATAATATAAACAAAACTTTTTTTTTCAGAAAATCAAAACTTGAATATATTTGTTGTTAGCAGACCTGCACTACAGAAAATTTGAAGACAGGTCTTTATGCTAATGGAAAAGGATTCCAGGCCTGCACAAAGGAGTGAAGAGAGCTAGAAAAGGGAAACACATGGGTAGATACACACACACACACACACACACACACACACACACAAAACCTTAACATTAAAAGTAAAAATGTTTAAATAATAACTGACCATGCCCAAAAGAATGATGTTTACTCACATACTTATTGTTTTACGGTGAGAATACAAAATATATTATTTTATAAGCAATTCTCAAATATATAACATATGAAAAAATATACATATTAAAGAAACATATATATATATATGTGTGTGTGTGTGTGTGTGTGTGTGTGTGTGTATATATATATATTTTTTTTTTGAGACAGAGTCTCACTCTGTCGCCCAGGCTGGAGTGTAGTGGCATGATCTCGGCTCACTGCAAGCTCCAACTCCCGGATTCAAGCAATTCTCTGCCTCAGCCACCCAAGTAGCTGGGATTACTGGTGCCTGACACCATACCTAGACAATTTTTGTATTTTTAGTAGAAATGGGGTTTCATCATCTTGGTCAGGCTGTTCTTGAACTTCTGACCTCGTGATCCACCTACCTCAGCCTCCCAAAGTGCTGGGGTTACAGGCGTGAGCCACCGTGCCCGGCCAAATTTAACACATCTTATGAAAAATAAATATATTAATTTTACGTCTTTAACTTCTCTGAGTTAACAGTTAAGTTATAGTCCTAGTGACCGGCTGATGTCCATGCTCCTATGATTTTCTCTTGGTCTCATTCACCTTCACAGGATTAAACTGATATAAATATAGTGGATACTAACCATTACTAGGGCACAGCAGGGTGGAAGCATAATCTGCATTATCAGCATCCAGTTCCAGCATAAGCTCGATGCAAAATGCCATCATACATAATATTTTTCAATTATCAGCCAAGTTGAGAGATTTAAAATATGCTCGAAGTACAAGTCATGGAATCGGGGGTATACATATAAATATATACTAGATATTCTTTAAATTCATATAAATAAATGTTTTGAGCTTTTAGCAGGTATCCCTGATAAATTGTCTTGGTAAAGCAATACTTCAAAAAGACTGAAAATAAAGTTTTCTTTTAGATTTGTATAACTTAGCTTTCAATATATACCATTTTAGATGAAAGCATTCACTGCTGGAGATTAAAGGTTCTTGGAAGGGCTAAAGAACATAGTAGGTGATCAAAGGCTCTGATAACTCCAGATTTTCCACTGGCCTGTCTCTGAAACTTTGTAAGATTAAATTACCTAATACCTGTGAACTTTGGTTTATTTTTCAATAAAATTTGAATTATTGACTATAACTGCATTTGTAAGACTTTTGGATTCTATTAAACAGTGAAAGAAGTGGAGGCTAAACCAATTTGAAGTTGTCGACATTTTTTTAAATAAAGACATTAGAAAACATAAAAACTACCATCTCTACTTAATCCATGTCATTATAAAGAACATTTTTACATTATAAGGAACATTTTAACAACAAAAGAGTCAGGACAGCCAATTCAAAATAGCAAAGTCCTTTATATCAAAGGAATTAAAATAAAGCTTTAAGAAAAAAAACTTTTCATATTATTTTTTCTCCATTTCATCACAGACTGATAAAAATTTCAAAAATGTCTAAAATCATTCTATAGATCTGTGCCTAAAACTTTATTTATTTGAGACAGAGTCTTGCTCTGTTGCCCAGGCTGGAGTGAAGTAGCCGGCATGATCTCAGCTCACTGCAACCTCTGCCTCCCAGGTTCAAGGGATTCTCGTGGGTCTGCCTCCTGAGTAGCTGGGACTGTAGGTGCGCACCACCATGCCTGGGTAATTTTTTGTATTTTTAGTAGAGATGGGGTCTCACCATGTTGCCCAGGCTGGTCTTGAACTCCTGAGCTCAGGCAGTCTGCTCACCTTTGCCTCCTAAAGTGCTAGGATTACAGGCGTGAGTTACTGCGCCTGGCCCAACACTATTAAATTAAATGCTTTCTACAATCTTGTTTAACCATAAAATTCCGATCTATTGTCTTATTCTGTTACAATATGTTAAGCCAGTGTGATTAACATTACATAACCTTATGTCAGTTAAATGTGATTTACCTAACTCATGTAACAACAGTAAGAAAAATACTTTTTTAAGAACTGGGGAAAATATCTCCTAGTGTTTGATACAATACTTTGTCATAACACATTTTAACACACAGTCCACACACTTAACTGTTTGAAAAGTTCCTGTGGGAAATGACAGTGTTTTTGGGTCTATTAAAGAACCATTCTGGTTGCGCAAACTTGAACGAGAAGTTGCACTGTGGTAACACTAGTCTTTATCTTGGAGACCAAGAGTCATTTTGCAAATTTGTGGTATCATTTCCCTAAACAACTTAGGACCAAACTGTACTTCATTTCCTCAGTTCTGCATTTCTACAGAGGCAGAAAGAAACAGCTCTTGCAGGAGTTGTGATAACTTTTTATTATACTATGTATACATATGGACTAGCATTAACAAACGAACTAGAGAAGGATGTAATAAATTAGACATCTCTTCATTTTAGAGGGAAGATGGAAACAACATTGCTTTTCTTTTCTCAAATAAATATGTGTGAATCAAAAGAAAAAACTTTTTTCAAGTTAATACATGGTTCAGGAAAAGAAGAAACAAGCAAAGAAGCCAAAATCAGGTAAAGTTATACAATTTTAAGTCAGCCTTATACTTTTAAAAGTATAATTGAGGTTGAAGATTCATTACCACTTGTTTTTGAACTATTGGGTGGAAAATATATTGATTGCATTGTTCTAATTGGGGAAAAAAACACCTTTTTATTTCTTAGGTGTAAACAACTAACTGTGAAATCTAGTGTTCTCATTTAAAAAAAAAAAAGTGTAACAATTTTAGCCACACAGAGGAACTAGTACAATCTTTATTGAAATATAATCTCAAATACTTGATTGTCAGTGAACAAAAGGAGAAATATTTCCATGTATTAGCCTAATTCCTCCACAAATACAGTATTTAAGTGTGTGGGAGTGGGTTTGGGTAGGTGTGGGTATTTACCAATTACAAAATTGTCTGGTAGTCAGCAGGACAGATTTTTACTGTCATCTACATTGTCCTGACACAAAGGCCTTTTTATTACAGAGCTAAGGAAAAAAGAAATAGACTAAGTCTTCTTGTGCAGAAACCTGAGTTTCATGAAGACACCTGCTCCAGTAGATCTGGGCACTTGGCCAAAGAAACAAGGTGAATAAATTTTCAGTATTTTGAAGAAGATTTTGCTGATTCTATCATTAAAGATTTAAGAAAAATGCAATTAGGGATTTCTGTTTTTTGAAAATTACACATTAGGGAAAGTTAGAAATTTCATTTGAAGAGACTAGAAATATGTCATAAAATTAAACCACTTGAATTAAATCGCTTGCATCGAATAATCACGTGAACACTTAAAGCTGCTCTTTTTAAATTATATACCTGTCAGTTTTAAATGATATATTTTACTCCTTATAACCTGATAAAATGCTCATTAATTTAAGAGTTTTCACAATGCAATATTGTCATAGTAGGGAGCTATTCATCTCTTTCTTCAGTAGTTTGAAAAAACCCTCATTATAGCAAGTAAAGCACAAATAATGTCTTTTAATACTTAGCATTTATTTAATTCAAAAAGAAAATGCAAAAACCGTATAAACTAGTTTCATACAAATTCTTCCAAATTTGAGTATCATAAAACAAATCCTGAAAATATATTCAATTTTCCACATTATCAGCATCTCTAGAATATTTCTTGTAGTCAAATATCTTATATTTCTTATCCCTTTGAAACTTTATTAGTCAAACTTCCTGTATCCGTTAAAAAAAATTTGCAGCCTAGTGTGGTTACAACTTCAAGGAAATTGCAGTATAATCTTTTTTTTTTAACTGAAAGATACTGTCACTTTAGTTTCTTCTACTTGCTGAATTTAAACAGATAGTTGACCTGATTTCATTATATTTGTTCTCTGTGCCTTTTAACCTAACAAAGGATTAATTTTTAATTAAAAAATAAAACAACTCACATATCTGTGAGAAAAAAAATTAATGTTATTTTAACACATTATTCAACAGACAAATTCTAAAAGAAAATTGAACAATGTTTTAAAAGTTTCTAATGTAAATACAAGTTTCCTTATATTATCATCAAAGGAGAAACTGTGAAATAAAATTGAAAAGAGCAGTACAATAGCATATGTTAGAACAGATTCATAAACAGACTTTCTGCACACTCCATTATAAAACATTTTGTTTCTTATACAGAGTCTCCCCTGAAGAGGCAGTGAAATGGGGTGAATCATTTGACAGACTGCTTTCCCATAGAGGTTAGTGGTACTTTCACCAAATACTTTATTGCTTAATGGAAAATGACACAAACTGTGCATGTAATTATATGAAACAGTAAGTCACAAAATTTTTGTCTGATTGTTAATTTTCAGTAATTCAATTTTCTGATCAACAGAAGTAACTAAATAATAGAAAATTCAAATAATGGAAAATGTTAAGGTTCTCTTTTTGTTTAGAATTACCTACTGTGGATGAAATATTAGTTATTTATACTGTAGCTAGTTTCAATTTTTAAATGTTTCCGATTTTTGAATGAAACCTCGGTTTCATTCAATTCATGATTAACAAACTATTCATGTTAGTTTCATTGTTCAGGGATTAAAAATATAAAGTAATTCTTTTGATGGACATTCAGGAAACCCACAAAAACACAGTTTTAAAAAAATTTTATAAATTCTTCATTCTGTACTTCACATCAATTGTCTACTTTTAAAGCAAAATTTTGTAGAAATGCTGAGAATCGAGTGTGTATTTAAGGTGGAGCTTTGTCTATGAGATGGAGGGTGAGGACAAGCATCAAGACTTCATTTGACTCTGGAACACTATGATAATATAGCATGGCTTAGGAGGCAGGCCCCCTGGACTGTCACTCTTTAGGATCAATTTACATAAGGTAGCAAGTGAGTGAACTTTGTTATCTTTATTCGTTCTATGCTTTCTTTCCGATAGAAAGACTGAACTGAGCAGGTGATGTGGCTAGGCAATCACAGATTTATTATTCTCTACCCTGAACTTGTCAGAGTCTGCTAAAAAAAAAAGCAATGCTTTATCATTAACAAACATCCACCTCAAGCTCAGAGCTTTTTTTTTTTTGTACCTTCAACTTGTCCAGTTTCTTACCTTAGTCTTTGTCTAAAATATAATCATTTCCCAGCTCTTCCAAGACCCTTCCAAGATGAGGTTAGCCAGACTACTCAAACTACTCCTTGTAACATTGCCCATGCCTTTCACAATTTTAAGGTGCCTACTGGAAGAAAGGATTCCTGTTGCCAGATCAGTTGGGAATGGAATATCTGTAATTCAGCCTCAAATACTGTGCTCCATTTAATGTAATAACAACTTTTCTTTTCTGACATAATTTTTTTTTTGTTTTGTTCCCTTCCTTAATTGTTCAACTCTGTATAAGGTTTTGGTGACCTTTTCATGTTCTCCTGAATTTAGTGATATAAAAATTCTATATCAGTAGATGATACCTGAAAACTTTCCCTCTGCCAATGAAAGCAGATGTCTGCCTCTGACTTGTAATATTTATAGGTAGAGAAATCAAGGCTTAAACTTAGGTAAGGATGTGATCAATGAGAATGGAGAGTAGTGATAAGAAAGTTCGTGCTGACACAGTTTAACATTTATTCCTTGTATTTCACTCTAATGCTAGCTACTATCACTTCCTATTTTTGGGAAAACTAACTTAAACAGCCTTCCTCAACTTCTGTATTCACTTGTCTTCATTTCCAGTATACAATTCCTTTTTTGGTGTTTTTTGTTTGTTTTGTTTTCTTTTTTGTTTTTTTTGGTTTGTTTGTTTTGTTCTGTTTTTGTTTTTTGAAACAAGAGTCTTGCTCTGTAGCCTAGGCTGGAGTACACTGGCATGATCTCGGCTCATTACAACCTCCACCTCTTGGGTTCAAGGGATTCTCCTGCCTCAGCCTCTACAGTAGCTGGGATTACAGGCATGCGCCACCACACCTGGCTAATTTTTGTATTTTTAGCATGCTGGTCTCGAACACCTGAACTCAAGTGATCCACCCATCTAGGCCTCCTAAAGTGCTGGGATTACAGGTGTGAGTCATTGTGTCCAGCCCCTGTATACAACAATTTCTAAACTGTTGTTAAAATTCTTGCCAAATCTATGTCAAACTTCCCCCGTACTCACTTTCTTGCTCCCACTGTCTTGGTTCAGTTTCAGATATGTTCTTTATAGATTAATTACAATAACTGGTGTAAAACTCGCTTCCATAATTCATGTCCCCAAAAGGTGTTTATTTTAAAATCTCCTCTTATATTCAACATTTTGGTACCACACTGCCCTTTAGACTCTTCACCAGTCAGAGACGGGGAAAACAAAACAAAACAACAAAAACAAATAGGACTGGGATTAATTTCTTTATAACGTATTTATTAGAAGGAAACATACGTCTTTTCATCTGTGGATTCCTAAACTTAGCACATCCCCTGGAAAATAATATAACTGAATTTGTTTCTAGAAGTTAGTCCAGAATTCCAGTGAAATTTGAGTTTTAGGTTTCTCCTAAAACATAAATGGTTGTATAATCTCAGTTAAGCTTCCTAATCACTCTGACTTTTAGCTTCCTCAACTGTAAATGAAGATAACGTTTTTAGCTCCAACAGAAATAGATTCCTGTCAGGATTAAATGAGATGATGAATAAGAAGCCATTAAATTTTGGACACTACACAAATGCCAATGATAACTGCTATTATAAAAAATAATAATTACTAACCAGCTTAATAATCTTTTTTTCTGGTTCCAGTCTACTTACAACTGGATGACGATCAATTAGAGGGTTAAAATTTCAATTAACAATAACATATAGACAAGATTGTTTTCACTTAATAAATTGGTATATAATAATTTCATCATAGTTTCATTACTCATTCAAAGCATAGAAAGATTTAGCAGGGTAATTAGTCCTATAGAAAATCCTCATCTAGCATTCTGTAATCTTTCTTCTTTAAAAGTGGTAAAAAGCAAAAGGACAAAATCGAATCTGCTACTCTCTCTTTCCTCTACCGATAATACTAAGAGCGGCAAACTATCTGTAATTTAAATCAAGAAGAGACACACTTAAAGAAATCAGCACTAACCCACTGGATATTACCACCTGTCATGATTACAATGCTAAATATATTATATTGTATTCACAAAATTTATACTACCAGTATTATTTTACTCAATCTTTCCTAATCCAATTATTTTTTATTACAATGCTTATAATAATATTAAATTATAAAGCTTAAAATAATCACCTAAAACAAGTCTTTTGGTTGCAATTGTTAAATTCAGTTTATTTCTATTTACTTGACTCTAGGAAAAGAGTGTGTGTGTGTGTATGTGTGTGTGTGTGTGTGTATTTCAAGAGAAAGATCCTACACACACACACACTTCAAGAAAGACCTTGCTCTATCAAATTTTACAAAATTTCCTTTTGTAAAATTTTCTTTTATAAGATGCTACAAAATGTATACTTTTCTCAAATTCTGTATATCTATTAAAAGGAAACAAAATTTTTTCAGTTTAGTCAAATGGGAAATGAAGTGATAAATCAAACCAAATACAGTGGAAATTTGGGTGTTCAGTTTGACAAAAACAGTTAATACTAGAACCATCATAAACTGATTATTAGCAGTTTTAGGAATGAAACCACAGGATAGATGGTTTTTACCCTAGATTTTAGGGGATTAATCAAAATTCACTAGCTGAACAAGGAGAGAAGGAGACCATCCACGCAGAGAATCAGTATAGGAATGGGGTGTTAAACAACGTCATTTAGTTAGGGAATTAAAACCAAAATAACTCTCCACTGAAAAATACAATTTGAAAACGGATGGTGGGTTAGGGAGGGAGACAGTATATCCATGAGACCAAAACAGAAAGGTCATTGATTTTTGCTCTATTCCACAAAAATCAAATGATTCGGGGAGGTGTTCTGATAATTCTATTTTATTCAAATTTTAGTCACATAGTTTAACTCTTTTAAAATTAAAAAAATGAATAAAGTATAAACTTCAGTTAAAAATTATGTATCAGTGTTGGTTCATTAATTGCAACAAATGTCCCATACCAATGTAGGATGTTAATAACAGGGGGAAATTGAATGGGGGGCGTATTACCTTCTTCTGAATCTGTACTACGTTCTGTACTACCTTCTGCAAAATATGTCTGTAAATCCAAATGTATTGTAGAATAAAATACTTTGGAAAATTATCTCAAGAATGTTATATAGTAAATTTTAACACAATGAAGTCCATCAATAATTTAAATTCTGTTTCTTATTTGGTTCGATGGAGCTGTAAGTCTATATGTTTTCTGCTATTTCTATTTATTGTCAAATTTGTCTGAAGTTTCAAAATGAATAATAAAAATTTGTAGTTTAATACTACATATATATAAACCAGTAATTTCTAAGGGCTATTTAAATTTAAAAAGTAGTAATAAATCAAAAATGAAATATCAAACTATATCTGTTATTCATAATCATAAATTTTTTATTTAGTTTTATCAATCTTCTCACTTGATTGGCTTTATAAAAGTTAATTTTATCAATTTGAACTTATAAAATCAATTGATGCCAATAAAATATAGAGGTATATGATACACACATGTGTTTGTATTTGTTTACATATATGTATACGGCTCTGTGTAAGGCACCCTTGAAAGTAAAATGACACTGCTGTATAATACGTAATTTCTAAAATAACTCACTAAATAGTTTTTAAAATATTATATAGAACTTGCAGTATATCATGTAGGCTTTAGAAGATCACTAAAAGTGATCAAATAGATGTATGCAATAATTCAATTGGCAAAAGAAAAGGTAATTCCTGAGATAAAGGCAAGGAAATGCTTAGAGTACTAAGAGATTTTGACATGATCTGGAAAAGCAGTAAGTTTACTTTGAAGCAAAGAGTAATAAACACATATAATTAAGTTGGGAACAAACTTTGGAAGCCTTTGTTAAAAAGATAACTGATGGTTAGAAAGGTAAAATTTCATGCATGTAATATGAACTACCTACAAAGTTGTTACATAAAAGCTAAACTCAAAGTAAGGACCCTCTTAGGAAAAAAAAAAGGATAAACTTATTGACTTAATCAATGTGTGTGTATGTTATAGAGTGACAAGATGAAGGAATAGGAAACAAAAAAGGATGAGCCAAAGATTTCTAGATTTCATTTTAATTGTAATAGGAAGATAATGATGCCTGTAATACATGCAAAACAGAGGAGGATGAACGAGAC